TGGTTAGCATATTACAGTAATCAAGTCAGCTAAACCAGTGGTGTCGCAGTTTTGCCTGTGGGTGGCTGCTGAGACGCAAAATCAAATATAAAGTAATGGAAATAAAAGCATATTGGATTAGAGAAGGCGGTGTGGAAGGCGTTTCATGTTGCAATGAGCAAGAATTGGATAAAAACGTTTGTTTCATTTTGCCACTACTGGTTATGGAAAGTGTTGAATAATGGAAGGAAGGTTAGTGATGTTGACGTAGCTCTCAGGCAGCAAATTACTTTCTATCATTGGCAATTACAACACAAAATTAAATGTGCGAAATATGATTATTTTATTTGATTAATGACGTATTGATTCAGTTGACAGGCTTGAATAACTTTACAATCTATAGGTCAATATCAGTGTTTTTTCAGCTTGTTTGTTCCTAACAACCAGTGAGGATACTACATAAAAACCACAGCAGAACTATTATAAAATCAGCATATTGTAGTAGTTATTAGTTATAACTCTGGAGATAAAAAAATATATGTAGTCATGATGAAACTGCTACAAGAGTCAAGTTAGTCATACGAGCTATAAATCTATCAGACTGCTGCGGGAACTTTCTAGCAATATGATAATGACACAAGAGCAGATAAATCTATCTATATATAAAAGCTATCAGAAACACACCACTGAGATACGCAGGCCAATTGTTAATGATTATTATACAGTACATTCAAGCTATTACAGTGGAGAAAAGTATTATCAGGTACTTTTGAGTAGTATAGACACACTGATTATTAGTGTACGTATATTATAACGGTTAAAAAGAATATATGTTGGCATGAAGTTATAATAAACTCCTATATGAATAATATAGGAGTATTTAGATACTGTGTTTTGAGATAAAATACAATAAATATGATAAAGGTCTCAAGAACTCACTATAGACTGGCACAGAAACACTATATAGAGGCTATAACCATATTCTGGATTATAATAATGATGTCGTGGTCAATTAAAAATGCCATAGAGTGGGAAAATCGTATTAAAAACTCATTACTGTGTACCACAGACATACAGGCTCCTATATGAGCATTAAACAGCAGTTACAGTAAATATAAAACATCATAAAGTAGGACGAAGTTATTCAAAACAAAGAAATAATGACATTAGACAATATGACAGTGATATTTCTTATAGTAACTAAGTACTTTTAAAGTTTTGAGGTAGTCCACTTTTATTTAATAATACAAAATAAAATCAACAAATCAAAATACTTATTGCTACTATATATAGTATATAAAAGTAACATGTTGAATGCAGCACTTTTACTTGTAACACTGTAGTATTTCTACTTTAAAGTAAAAGATCTGCTGAGAGGAGTTATAACACAGGACACGCCCTGAGACTTTTTCCTTATTGATGACACAGCCATAATTACAACCTTTTCCTCCAAACACACACACACACACACACACACACACCGCGCTGTATACTAGTAGATAATCACATTTTCATTAGGCTGATCCCGCCCCTGGTAAAAGTAGGGGCGCTCCATGTGACGCTGCTGGGGCTGTAACAAAAATCCAGTATGGCGGAATCTGTCAGGAGATGAATTTCTTCGTCTCCCCCCTCCCCCCTCCCCTACAGCTCCACTCCAGCCTCCCCTCCCTCCTCATCATCTCTCTTCTCTCGTCTCTCTCTCTTCCTCTCTCCTTCTCTCCTGCGTCGAGAAAAACCCAGAGTCTAAACATGGGGACAAATAAAACCAGTGGGAGCCACATTGTTTGGGACGACCTGGCTTCCTCCTGGCCCGTGTAAGGTGAGCTGCTGGTAGTGTTTGGTGTGCTCTCAGGGAATGAATGTGATGCCGAGCATGCGCCGCTTTGAATGTGATTTTGCAGGCCCAGAGGAATGGCCGATGCACAGACAGGATTTCATCAAAAACAACGTCCGGTCTGTAAGTATTCTACTCCGCTCCGCCTTCGGCGTTTTTCCCCCACCGGCTGCTTTTGTATGACATTTCTGGTAGGAGCATGCTCTTCCTTAAAAGCTACATATTTCCATAATCGGTTTGTTACACTGGTAAGCGGCGGGAATGTGTAGGCAATAAGGGAAGGGAGGGGTTGGTTGTTGGTGGTGGTGGGGGGAGGAATGGAGAAGCGATGTTTATTATGCCGATTGTTGTTGAGCTATTTTTAGAGCACGGCCGAGCCTTGGGCTTTAATGCAAAATACACAGTGCTAAGGCGCCTCTGTCGCCTTGTGCCCGTGTTATTGGTGAGAGAAAATGCGTAAAATGAAGGTACAGGCCTGCATTAAGTGTGTGTTTGAGTGTGTGTTGTGTGAATGGTCCGGGATGGGCGGTGTCACCAATTCACTGCAGCGTCATTTTTTTTTTTTTTTTTTTTTTTTTTTTTTTTTTGTGAATGGGGGCGTACGGGTTGTTGGAGCTGTTAAAGCGACATCAAAGCTGCACATTACGGCTGGTTTAAAGTGTCGTTAAGAGCACGGAACGGTTTGTAGCAGGAAATATTGAGAATTTAGTCGTTAGATAATGTGAGAGTTTGAGTTTCTGGAGTGCAGGGTTAGGTTGACTGAGTGTGCACACCGGGCTGTGATTGTGATTTATAGCAGCTAGTGTCATAATTAATGCATGTTATTATGCTTGTTGGATGTTAATTAATGCCTTTTTTTCCTCCTAGTTTTGATGTAATCTTTCACAATAGCTCTGGTTTCAACCCATTTTTACAGGTTTGTGTTTTTATCATTTCTTCACTTTGGGCTTCAGGGCTCGTCTCCCCAGATCTGTCACCCTGCATCAAGCAAGCTCTTTTTAGGGACAATGGCCTAGGACACACACACACACATGCATGAATACCCCTCCCGAGACAGATGAGATGCCCTGGGAGAATGGTGTTGCATGAAGCCCCCCTGGAGTGTCAGCTACTCCCTGTGACACACACGTTCGCCTTGCCCACCCCTCCTTGCCTTTTCCATCACAAAGCACAAGTGTGCGTGCACTGTGCAGTGACCGACTTTTTTTTGGGGGCAATTTGTCCTGCGGCTGCACTGTCTGGCCTCTCTAGTCTTGAGACCCACCCAGCCCCCCTAAGTGCACACACACACACACACACACACACACATGCATCCTTCCTGCTTCAGAGGACCTCTGAGACCTCGGCCAACACACACACACAAGGGCGTGAACATGCACACTACCCCCATGCCCCCCTACCCACAACGCCCTGGGGCAGTTTTACCCCTTTCTATTTGTGGTGGTAAAGTCGACTTGATGCTTTGGGCTCAAGCCGTGATCACATCTGACACTCCTGCTCCAGGCTCGAGGAATTCAGGCTACTCTCCGAAAACAAAGAAAAGAACAATCGTTTATTTCCAGAAACAGCAAAAAGACCAATCAGCTACCTCCAAAAACAAAGAGAAGATCATTTATCCCCAAAACGCATAAAATAATCAAAGGTTTCTGCTCTGTGAAGTTCACATGTTCCTAAGACTAACAGAACTGTTCCATCCATTTCTACAGTGAAAGTAGTACATCATACTTTTTCCATATTTTTTCTTAATCTTGGAGCGCCCCAGTAAAAGAGAAACTATGTCCGGGACAAGCAGTTTATTGCCTGATTGGTTTACAGCTTCTTGCAGTGTAAGCACGAGGTCGAACTCGAGGTCGTATTGAGCTTTTTCGACTGTGGTCTTGGATCTGCATGGCAACAGTATTTTACTTTAAAAAGTCCCGGGATGTATTTCAAGGAGCAGGATTTCATAATTGGCCAGATTAAAATATAGGAAATGAATGATTTAAAGGTCCAGTGTGTAACATTAAGGAGGATCTGTTGTCAGAAATATAGTATTCATAGGTGTGTTTTCATTAGTTTATATTCACCTATAAATAAGAGTTTTATTTTTGCTACCTAAGTTAGAATGAGTTGTTTCTATCTATAGAGGGAGCAGGTTCTCTTCTCTGGAGTCTGCCATGTTGCTCTACCATGTTTCTATAGTAGCCCATAAAGGACAAACCAAACAGTGGCTCTAGATAAACCTTTCCAGTAGTTTCTGAAGGCTGAGCTGTAACTTCACTGCTAGATGCCACTAAATCTACACTATGGTTTTTTAAAGTTGTAAAATAAATACTGTTTACTGTTTAATAAGTGTTAAGACTGCTTTAGAACTGATACCATTAGTTGATTGATTGATCATTCAGTCAACAGAAAATTAATTGGCAATAATCACGATAAAGGATTAATCATATAAACTCAACTTGTCTGGCATCTGTGTGTTTTATGATAGCAAACTGAATATCTTTCACTTTTGGACTGTTCATCTGACAAAACAAGACCTATAATGTTCTCTAAGGTGCTTGCAACTTGCCATGAGCATTATTCAGTATTTTCTGACATATCCATATTTTATTATTATCCTAATAATCTTTAGTTGCAGACCTAGATTGTTTAAAAAATGGATATAATTGCCCTGATGGACATACGCATGAGTAAGTCATATATCAGCTCTGTTCAGTCAACAGTTGTCACTGAAAGATCAATACTATAAATAACTGGAAAATGAGCTGCGTGTATGTGGGAGACATTCACAGGGATTCACCTATCCAGATTTCTCCTGATACTGATTGCGATCCCTCAACTCATCATCGATATCAGTGCTCTCTTTTTCATAATTTAAAACTTGTAAACCTCATTGCATAAAACTCAAGTTCACATGAGGCAAGGGACTGTTGTGGCACAAAAAACTGCGTTGGCAGCCCACTATGACTGAATCAGTGTAGTGGAAGCATTAATTTTAGAATTAAATTGATGAATAAACTGTTTTTAATGTGGATTAGTCATGGCTGATACTGACTCATTGATGTTTCTTGGTTGAATGCAGATTTCCAAACCTCAGTAAATCAAAACCTTCAAAAATCAAACTGGTATAATTAGATCAGAAATTAGACCTTATTTTTTAAAATAAAAGCAGTGACATGGTCCTTTTTATCCTCTCTGATAGGTTGGTACCGGAGCTAGACAGCGAGCAGCCGCTCTGATTGGAGTAGCCAAATCAAAAGCCTCATGGGGATTGGCTGCTGCGGCTGGACGTCTGCTTCCTGTTTCCAGCCTTGAGGGATTCTTGAAGGATCATCCTGAGTGTTGGATCAGCCTGAACACACATCAACACACACACACACACACACACACACACACAAAACACACATACATACATACACACACTGCCAGACATCCACAGTTTTGGCAGGATAACAGCCTCCTGATTGCTGCTCTGTAAATCACATCTGCACTTGCACAAACACACATCTGTTCTGCAATACACACAACAAGCCGGGTGCTCAACTGCCGCACTGCGTGGGCGCCCACCCGACTGACCTGTCAGCGATGACATCACACAGCCACCAAGGTGAGATCTTCCACTATACGTCTTGTTTCTTTGTGTGTCTATAATACATGGAGGATAAAGGTACAATATCACAACTTGACTAAACAGCTTTTTTGGGGTAATTTCAGGTCTTTATGTAACCGTTGATAGCAAGGTTAGATCCATGCATCATAATGATATTGACTTTTTGTCAACCTAACAAGTATGTAAATTCAAGTTAATTTTGTTGGCATGTGTTTTCACCTCAGGCAGCTGTTAGTGTTTTTTTTTTAATGAATTCTGCATTTAAAAGCCTAATGTATCAGTTGCATTAGTGAAGTCGATCATCCTGATTTTTAGTAAAGATTTTATGCATCCCAGGATGGTTTTAATTCTGGGAGAAAGATGAAGTTGAAGAAAATCATCTTTAACTTTGTTGTAACAACTATAGTTCTAAAAATGACATTTTGTAGCATCTTCTTGGCCTATGCACTGAAGAAACCTCAATCCATCACTGCTGGTGAAACGCGTTGGGAACACTGTTACGTGTTCTCTCTGCTGACACATCTGCCATATTGATGATGTACGTGAACGTTTTAAACACAGACCGATCGCAGTTCGCTAAAAAGCAATAAAACATTTTAATCTGGTCTTATGACTGTTAATTGGCTTGATTCAATATGAATGAGCTCCAGAGGGAGAGAGAAAAAGTCCATAACACGGGCTCATTAAGGGAGCCTACTTTCCTCCTTGACACCTAATCAAGCTCGGTTCAGAAGCTTCGGTTTGTGTTTTAGCGAGCTGATAAATTATTCGGTAAGCAGCTGGCAGATGAAAAGGTTAGCTTCCTGCCCAGGTCGTTGTGGTACCTGACAGTGTTGACCGTGTTTACTTTGTACACCTGGGAGAGTGTGCGCTATAAATTCCACGGCTGAGGTAACCACCGGGTCCCCGAGAGACGCGAATGAGCTGCAGCCTCAGCCAGGCGCCCTCAGCCCTCCAACGTCTCCATCCCTGACACACATGAGCACACCACAAAGGGTAGATTAGATATCACATCTGTATCCTATTTAAGGTTCATACGGCCCTTCGAGAGAAGACACTTTTCGCCGCAGAGTCGACTCCCTTTCCGAGTAGGGCCTTATATTGTTAGACTAACCTCAGATTAGTGCAGTATCATTAGACAGCAAATTCTAATTCCTCCGCACGTTCATTGGTCTCCTCTACAAACAGGGCTGAGAAAATGAATGCCCTGCTAATACTAAGAAATGATTTTGACAGTGATTAATGCTAATATATGCAAAGTGACATGTTAGATGGTAGGACGTGTGTTCACCACCTTGAAATAATTAATAATATACAGTTCATTTATTATTCAAATTATATTTAGTAATCTGTCTAAGCACGTTTTAACCACCGTTTTATGATTGAGCTACAGAGCAAAATTTTGTGTCTTACTGATTACTGTGATTATGTCTCAACAGTGCATTTAGAAGTTGATATTGTAGATCATAATGTGAAATAAGCCATAATGCAGAATAATATAAAGATGCTCTTAATTTGTTTCTGAATTTTTTTTGTGATAAATAATAAGTTTGTTGTTTAGGGAACATTTTCTGATATCTAAATTGAAGGCTGCTCATTTGTTTCTGGCCTCTTTTTGTGATTAAGAAGTTATACGTTTTTAAATATATGTCTAAATTAAATCAAACCAGTCATGCAGTCTCTCATAGTCCCTAATGTAATTTGTTTCTGAGCTCATTTCATGACACATCTTAATATGTATGTATTTTTACACAATTTTTTAAGTAAGTCTGTGAAAAGTCCTAAAATAGAGTTATGATATGTAAAATAAAGGCCAGGAATGGACTTGAATTTAGTGGTTTGTGTTAATAAGGTTTAGAAATGTCTTAAAGGGGTACTCCACTGATTTGGTATCAACAGATGCTGAGATATCCTAGCTTTTAGTCCCTAGTATGGTTCAAGCTTCAAAGAGACTGGATCGTACATTTCCCATAATGCAACTCAAAAGCATCTTTCATGTTTTCAACTCCATGTGGAAAATCAACAAAATTCCTCTTTAAAAATAAAATTAAACCCGTCACAACCCAGTACAGCCTTTTTACAAATCAGTAATTGCTTTTATTCTCTAAAATTGTCCAAAATGATACCTCTATCATTATTTCATCACAATACAATTCTGTTGGAAGAAGACAAACAGTGAGATTGAATCAATGCCCAGATCTGAACATAGCCAAAGCAGGAAACATCCCTCTTTTCTGGCCAGGGGCTGCAGCAGCTGATAGAGCAGATAAACTAACCAACTCCTGTGAAAATATAATAAGATTTAGCCGTTTTTTAATTTCCCACCCTGCCCTCCTCTACCTCTCATCTTCACAGTTTGCTTCCCACTAGAGGGCCAAGTAGGGCGACTCACAATCTGCCCTGCCATCACCCGTGTTAACTCACCTCTCACCAAAACAAAAATAGCTGCGGTCTTTTGTGTGCGTCCAGGAGAGACAATTCATACCAGCAGCTGCTGTTTCTCACTGTCTTGTTTTCCTGAAAAGCCTTCCGAGGAGACGAGCTCGGTCCTCAGAGTGCTGCCATGTGTGGGCGTCAATTTGAGGTGTTGCTTCTTTCGTTTGAATGACAGCTTAGAGACACACTTGTTGGATGCCGGTGAACAGAGAGAGACAGAAACAAGCAGCCAAGAGACATTTAAAGACATGAAATGTGAAAAATTGGCCTTGTGGCGCTTGTCGGGCTACGGCAGCAATGCTTACAGGAGTGCAGGGGAAGGAATTTGTTCTGCTTTAAGAGATGCATCAGTTCGATTTCTCTGTTTTGTTCTTTTGAGAAAGAGATGCAAGGAAATTGATCCTGCGGCTTCAGGTTGCATCAGGGTTGTCTGCTGCTGCCACTGTTAAATTGAATTTGTTTTATATTCAGTGTAATTAAACAACATTGGCTTTGTTCTCAGGGTGAACAATGAGACTTTCAGATCCACGGCTTTGTTGTACTCTTGTGTTTGCAGTGCGATCCAAAGCTGCCAACTTTTTTTCCGAGCTTGCTTTGCACTTATTTCCGATCATGTACCAGACCTCTAAGTAAAGCCTTGTGTGTGTGTGTGTGTGTGTGTATGTTCACCCTCATGCAGTAGCTCTGGCGGGTGTTTGCGAGTGTGCATTCGTGCCTACATGCTTGTGTGCCATTTTTGTAATCTGTAAATGAGCTTACTAGCACGCACGTTTTTGATCCAGGACTTACTCATTTTCTTTATTACAGCAGCGGTGGGATTTTTAGATTAAATATCATTTACCATAAATCTCTTCCTAGAAAAGTGAAATGTAAAACGCTTTGTCGGGTTTTATATTTCCCAGAACAAAAGGGGGTCAGGCTGATAAGGCCTCCACATAGCAAACAGGCTGGAGTGTTTGCACAGGAGTGATTACTCTGTGTACCGAGAGCTTTAGCACATTAGCAGGCGACATTTGTTTTGCACTCGCGCTTAGCAATGAGCTAACATGCTGACCGTGTTCGGTTGAACCAGGTGGTTTCTGTAATAGATAGTGACTGTGATAGCAGTTAAATATAGAGTACGCTATATTTAATAAAAACACACGCAGAGGCAAAACAGAGGTATGTTATCAGTCAGATCATAGCAAATTTCTATATGTTTCCGTGGTTACCGCCATGTTAAACATCTGTTTTGGAAGGAAGCATAAATGACTAACTTACAGCAAACTATTTTAAAGTCAGTATGTTTAGTCAATTAATGATTGTCTTTGGTTTGTGATTCATTGACACTTTAAAGGTTTATTTTATTACCGTTTTCTCTGGGGCCTCTCTGTGGTTGTGGTCACTTGCCAAGCACCCTTATCAGTTCTTGGTGACAATCTGTGTCGCCCTCTATACAGATAAAGAGGGCAACTACCCAAGCCACACGTGTCTGTGTGTTTAGAAGGGAAGCACAAGAACAAAACAAAGCCGATCCTCTATTAGAAACCAATGTATAATGTAGAGATGGCTGCAGAATGAAAGGAAAAAGCTGAGTAAATGAGGTAGTGTAGGACAAGTTAACAAATAATATCAGAGCCAATAACTGTCTGTTGGGTTTGGCCAATACAATAACCAATAATACTAACCTTACAAATCAAATAAAGACTATGTTACTTTAATAGAATGTGTTATTTTAATGTATAGACTAACATTTTTAACACTAATTAACTACTCCTTACTGACAATGACCATCTTTCTTGGAAGGATTGGTCAATATTCATCATTGTACATTTTATCTTTTATATACATATAGTTATATATATATTTATAT